AGAAAAGAAAAGAAAAGAAAAGAAAAGAAAAGAAAAGAAAAGAAAAGAAAAGGCTTTCACTTATTCGGGGGCCACACAGCTAGTGAGTACTGACAGGAAAGAATTCGGGTCTCCTAACTCACGATAATGCTTATTAAATTCCCTGAAGTTCTGTTTGTAGAGCCCCCTCTGGACCCTGGGGGACGCTGAGGTTTCCGTGATACCGGTGGAGAGGGTTCCCGGCTTACCTCAGATTGGAGCCAGAGATTCACCTTCAGGAAAAACAAAGGTGGGGAGTCAGTCACAAGCGAAGACTTGAGCAGAATTAAAGGAAATCTGACGAAAGGAGTTAATTAACCAGACTACGATTCCGCTTCTAGACTGGATAGGCCGAGAGGATCGAAGTTACAGCCACAGTGCAAGAATATCAACAGTCACAGGGCCTGGCTATTCAAACCTTCCGCCTCCCCAATAAACCTATCCCATTCACTTCAAGACTGCGTCAGCCAATCTGCGCCCGCGCGCGCCCAGACTCCTTTGGCCAATCGTTTGGCTCTACATCACTAGGCGTGACCTTGCTTTGGAAGGAGCACAATTTGCCCCGCCCCTCAGCCAGAGCAGGATGCCGATTGGTCAGGGTTCAGTAAACCGCTAGGTAAGCCCCGCCCCCCGGGTGCCTGGCACACCATTGGCTCTCCCTCTGGCCAATCTCCACACCCTTCCTGAGCTCTCTATTCCCTTAGCCCTTCCAACCCCGGGAGATTTAAACTGGACTTCGGTAGCGAGTACTGCTCTTTAAGATAATACCTGGAGAGAGTTGTTTGGGTGCCAGGGTGTTTTAAACTTTTCTTTCCCCTTGCTTCTTTCTTGTGTCGTTACTTAGGCCTTTTCATCTTCGTTTTTCTTGCCTTCCGTTGGAGATGGAGCATTTGCCACCGGTATGGCAGATGTTGAGGCGAGACAGGTGTGTGTATTTATGCTACATTTATGTATTGACCCCTTCCAATAGCTTTCATTGTTTCCAGTTCCTTTTAGAGCTCAGCATCTCTGAGACTCTAGGTTATGCAGGATAAAGGAAATTCCTTTTCAGGGAAAACAGGGGAATTAAATCATCTCTTGGTATAATCCTTATCACACTCCAAAGGATCCCAAGCTTTGGCCGTTTATGGAAATTTGAACATTGATAGGTGATACTAAGAATTTATTCTTAATGTTGGGGATTTGAATAATCCTGCGGGAGTGGTGGTGGGTATAGATGGTGGGTGGTGGGTATAGACAAAACAAGATTTGCCATGAGTATTAAGCAATGGGTAACTGGGGGTACATTATATCACTACTGTCAAAGTTTAATCATCTGGGGATCTTGTTAAAATGCAGGTTCTGATTCAGTAGGTCTGGGTTGGGGTCCAAGATTCTGCATTTCTAACAAGCTCCCAGCTGATGCTGATGCAGCTGGTCCTGAGACCATACTTTGAGTAGCAAAACATTATGGCATGCTCTTCTCTATTTTTGAAATTTTCTACACACACAAAAAGATGTTCAAAATAACTTGGAAGCTCTTTAAATGCAAGCTCCTTAAAATGATGAATCAATAAGTAGAGAGTGGGGCCTAGGAATTATCAAGGCACTACTCATGCTGATGGTTTGCAAATCACATTCTGAGAAACAAATAAGCAATGCAACAGTTGAGCCACAAACACAACCTTTATCCGGTGTCCACATCTTGGTGGTGGTAGTTGCTAAGAAGTACAGCATAGTCAGCTGGGTTTTATCCTAATACCCTTTTCATATGGAGAATCTGCTTCCCCAGAAAGGAGGTATGTGAAGAGTCTTTGTTCTCTGGGATTGAGATGGTGAGTGTGGGAGTCAGCACAGAGCCCTGCCACGCTAGGTGAGTTTGAAAAACAGATTAGGGGTTAAGGGAGTGTGTGTGGGATGAGTTGGTTTTTACTTTGAAAACCATAATCACACTTCATGGGACCATTGTATACTTCCCCTGCAGGTGGGAGGTAGAGACAGATGAAGTTGTTCTACAGCGGCGGCAAAAACAGATAGATTATGGCAAGCGCACACCTGGTTACCAGTGTTTCCTGCAGCAGGTCCCCAAGTGAGTGCAGTTGTGCGGGGTCACAACAAGCATGTCAGCTAAGTGGCTTTGGTTCAATGTAGGGTGATGGAAAGATATTAGAATATGAATGCTCTCACAAAGTCTCATCATTACTAAAACTAAGTCTCCTGAAATGTAGCCCCTAAATAAATTTTCAAGACTTTTTTTTCAAATGGAACAAATCCTACTTGGCCCATGAGACTTTCAAAAGCTCAATACATGTTTGCTAATGAAGTTTTTCTTTCCAACCATTTTTACTTCATACCGCCAGCTGACTTCACTAATTACAATATACTTGCCTAATTACATGTAAGTTTCCATGCATACGGGCAAACTAAATGTATAAAGAGGTAGTATGTATTTTGAAGGGATGTCAGATACTGTCTTTTATATCTGTCTTGACTTCTGAGGGAGTTGGAATATCTAAATTACCCTTGCCAGAAGAATATTAGGAATTTAGGAAGTTTGGTGCTTAATCCCAACTGAAGATTTATTTTTTCTATTGAATTGCGGGCATTGATCCTACCTGACTCTTAAGAAATCCTAATGAGTCTTCTGATTCACTGTGATAAACTGACCTATGCCCCTTCCCCCTGACCTGAGTCTGACACATATCTGTCATTGCCAGGGCAAAGCGACAGCCAGGACTTCACCCTCAAACACCAAATAAGAACAGGAGGTACAGCCGTCGCTCGTGGGATGCCCAAATCAGGCAGTGGAGAAGAGCTCTACATTCTTGGGACCCCCCCAGCCAGCCTCTGCAGGGCAGGGGGGCTGAGGGGTGAGTGCATTATTCTTGGTTTCTTGTTTGAGTGGTGGACTGAGCCCCACCTCTCCTTACTTTGCAGGGGTTTAGCTTTTAATGGCTGAAAAGGGAGAGTCTGAATGAGGTGCATGTTCCTCTGACTCTGCTGCATTCGTAGGCAGGGGATGGAGCATCTCTTAGAGCCAATGGGTTCCACCCCTTTGGATGACCTTTTGAATGACTGGTTCCAGGCCCTAGAACCCTCAACGAATCTGGATGGAGACCAGAAGGGAGCCCAGGTAGTCTTCTATCCACCTATCTTCTACCTGTCTTCTAAATCCCACTGGTGCACTGTTAGATATGGAGTCTGGCCTATGAGGTGACAATTAGCATGGGGTTCAAGGTAGTAGTCCAAGAATGAAAGAAGGAAAATGGGGCAGCAAGAAAAAATAGGACATGAATAAAAAATTCTGAGAACTAAAGGTGGCATAAGGAGATTTAATTATAGTTAGTAATGGCAGGGAAGTTGGGCTGCACTGGGGGCTATCTTATACTTGATGAAAGGGGTATAATCTTCCTTGGAATTGAGGCCTGAAACCTGACGTGGAGGATTTGGGTGTTTGTTTTTTTCAAGTGTCTCATTTTATAAATGTTTTGCATATGAGCCAATGCTAACTTCTTATTCTCCATCATTGAACTTTATTAAAGCATTGTTAATAATAAAAGGATAATAAATAACAAAATTATAAAAGGATAATAAATAATAAAAAAAGGAGGATCATCAAGTGGTGAAGACCAAGGACTTTAAAGCATCAAGGACTGCTCTGTAATATTACCTTTGCCTACCAGATGGGCAGTCACTTAATCTCTCCAACCATTTCATCTGTCAAATAGAGACATTTGCTCATTTCATGATTCTAAGCAAAAATGAGAATACTTATTTAAAGTATGTAGCACGGTGTCTGGTACATAATAAGTGCTCCACAACAGTAATTACTGGAAACCATGTCTCCTATACTTCATGGCCTTGTTCCCTCTTTTGCCAAGGGGAAATGTGCAGGGCAAGGGAATATGCAGTGCATCTATCTTCCCTCCACCCCTATTTTCTTGATAAATCTCACTTTCTCTTCACTCTTCTTTTTCAGTTTGCAGACTTGGTGGCTCCTGCCTACTCCCTTCCCTGGCTCTGTGAGGAAGATCCCCACCACTGGTGCTACTTTGTAGCTGATCAGTTACATATTTGTCCTAGACTTGAGTGGGGCACAAAATATTTAGAGAAAACAGACGTCTTTCAAGGGACTTGCTGCTAAGTTGTAATAGCTGTAATAGTGAAGATTATTTGCATTACTGCTACTTCCCAGTCGATTAAAAAAGAAATCTAAAACTGCTGTACAAAAAGATGGCAACACGAAGGCATTGTTTAAAGCCTCTTTTTCTTTTTGCCTTTCTTTCTAAACCTTTTTTGATAGCTGAGCCTCGAATTTACATGAAAGTCAGGAACCATTTAGCTGTTCCTCACCCTCTTCCCTACTAACGTCTACATGCAGTCTTTTCGAAAAAAGACTTAAACTTTGGCTGAGGTGGGAGATGGTGGTAGTGGTGGAGATTTAATAAAGGGTGGCATCCTGTTCCTAAAGAGGAAATATACGGACATGAACATCTTTTCTCCAGCTGCCTGTTTCCTCCCTCCCTGTCTTAAGTGGTCCAGCTGTAACCACCATACTCCTCCTTCCCTCCCCCCCCCCAACCCACCCCCGCAAGCAACTGAACCGCCTATGATGTCATAATCACAACCCCATTACCTCATCCTGCTCGGGGGTGGGGGTGCGTAGAGGAAGGAAGAGTAGTGGACAGCCCTGGGCCCTCCGCAGCTTCACAAAGTGTTTGGGTGAGGGCTAATTACAAAACCAATTTGGAACGGCCGCGCAACCGTTGCAAGTCCTGGGTTTATAAGGTTCGAGGCGATCCGGCAGCTTGAAGAGGGGCTCCTGGGACTCGGAGCAGGCCCTAATCGACTCTTGGACTACATTTCCCAGAAGCCTTCACGCCGCGGACGGGTCCTCTGCTGGCGGAAGGGGGAGTCCTTCTCCGAAGCAGCCCTAGAGGGCCGGACAGGAGAGCAGGTAAGAGGAACTTCGGCTAATTCTGTTACGCGACTCAAATCGAGTAGAGGGCTGTACTTAGGCCAGTGTTGGAATGGAGGGTGAGGGGGATGGCTTTGTTTACCTTCGTCCAACACGGCCTCCCCCGCGGGTTTCGAGATGTGCCGCCAACTGGGTCCGTCCACCTTCTGCAGTATTTTGGAGGGGGTGACTCGATAGTGAGGAAACCACCTTCATCCCTAAATCGAAGAACCTGTCTCATTCCCGACAGTACTTTCCAAAATAGACTTTGGGAGAGAAACGGCTTAAGGCTCGAGCCTCCGCGGGCGGTTCAGGAGGATTCCGCGAACCAGAGCGATCTCCCTACTCTCCTTAGGGGCCCTTTGGTTCGCGCCGGCGCCTTTTAAGGGCACCGTGGGGCGAACGGAGCGCTCAGAGCTGCTCCGGCCGCGGCCCTGGGAGCTGGAGGAGCCGCGGTAGGTGGCGAGGGCAGGTGGCGCTGGGGCCTCGGGGCGGGCACCTCGGCCGTCCCTCCCTCCTTCCCTCTTTCCCTTCCCCCAGCCCGGCCGCGAGCGCCGCACGGCCTCTCTGGACGCCTCCGCGGGGAGAGCACGGGACCCGGTGGGGGAGGGGTTGGCGGAGTGCTAAGTCCCAGACCCTCTTCATCCCCAGCGTCTTGAGTTCGCTTCCCGCGGCCAGGTGATGGAAGCTGATATGGGAGGAGGCGAACGACAGCCCCCCTGAGCGAGCCCTTGTGCCCCCCTAGGGGCCAGCGGACGCCCCATGCCCCACCCCGCAGGGACAGGCAGGGCAACCGAGGGAGAGGTTGAAGACTGGAGGGGGGCCTAGCCTTTTGCTTCTTCATAGGGGTGGGGGGAGGGGTGCTCCCCACTTGTCACCCCTATCCCCGCCAGAGCCATATGGAAGAAGGAACAGTCAGATCCTCACTTACATGTTCATGCACCTCCCTGCCTTCCTCATGTTTTTCTTCAGTCTCCCCCAGAGGTGTGGGCCTGGGACCTGGGGGGGGGGGGGGGGGCAAGGTCCCCAGGGGATTTGTGACTCTCTTACCCCTTGGCCTGACTAGATCCTAGGTTCTTCAGTTTTCATCACAACCTCAGCATCCCTGAAACCCGAATGTCAGGGGTTACTGCCATCCAATAAGAGATGGGATGGGGGTCCAGTCTTTATGTTAGGGGGCTGATGGTGGAAGGAAAGCCTGGATTGAGAGTTGGGCCTGGTGGGGTCGTGGGGAGGGCCTAGCGGCCTGCTGCTCTGTGAAGGGCTGAGCCCTCTGCCAGTTGTTAAGCTGAGAAGTTTTAACTTGTTTAGTGAAGGTTCAGGGCTGTCTTTGCCCCTCAGATAAACAAAATGGAAGGGGAAGGAAGGCGGCAAGAGAGGGTTTCTTACACTTTTTTCTATGCCTGCCTGAGAAAGAGGAGGCCCCTCGCGGAGCTGGTTTGCCTTCTTTTGTGTCCTGGTTTGATTCCTTATGGCTTCCGTTCTGTTCCCCCTCTCAGGCTGGCCTGTTTTAGGAAACTCAGGCTGAGAGTATCAGTTGCGTGGTGGTAGTTGCATTGTTCCAATTACCGCCGTGTGTGGCCACATCCCAACAATTAAAATGCAGAAAAACACAAAATCACTCTCTTCACTTGATCCCAGAGAGGGCTGGGAGTTTGCTGTTTGGCCAAATGCCTCATGAAAAGCTTGAAAGAGTTTGCTTCACTCCCTGCTCTTCATGGCTGGTCAGTCTGAGGCCTGTGATCTGTGGGGTAAAAGCCTTCAGTTAGGTTCCCTCTCTAGTTGATCTTTTGGGGGCAGAGTTAAGAAACCAAGAGCAGAAAAGAAGCTTTAGCTTTTCCTCCAAGAACATAGAAGCTGCTGAAGGGAGCTCTCGGGAAGCTGGAACTTCGTTCAGGGTGGTGATAATTATGCGTGAAAATGATAGTTATCTGTAATGATGACTGACTTCTCCCAGACCTTTCTTCCAAAAAAACTCCACATACATCCACATGTATTTCTTTGCTTTTCCTTACCTATCTCTCCCTGAGGTGGGGATGGGGTCAAGATGATTCCCTCTTTTTTTTGCAAAAGTAGAAAGTGATCTGCCTCCAAGGTCACAGAAGAGCTGTTTTGGGCTTCCCTAGGTGTGCAGATGAGGAAGGGTGGCGTCCAGCCAAATAGATAAATCCAATTGCCTTCTTCAGCTTAATATCATCACTTGTGGCATTCTTAGCCTGTGTACAGCAACAAACAGGAGGGTTTGAGAAACAGCAGTCTTTGTGGAGTCCTGATCTGTACAGGCTAGATCCTATGCTTTTTACATTTTGGTATTTCATGTTATATGGTACCTGTGACAGGTTAAGACATATTTATTGTGCCCATTTTATATACAGGTTAACTGAGGCCAAGAAAAGTCAAGTGACTTCCCAGAACTGTCACAGCAAATTGGAGCAAGATTTAGATTTCTTGAATGTTTGTTTTATCTACTAGAGAATGCTATATACACCCTCTGATGAGCTGTCTGCCTGCTGGTCATTTCTGGGAATAGGCAGAACCATATGGAAATACTAGGTTAAACTCCTCTCCTCCATTGAGCAAGGCCCCTCAGGCAATTGTGTAGGCTGGAAGCCTGTTCTTTGATAGAATTAGTTTGCTTCTACTGAAATTGACCATGAGAAGGAGTCTCAGTTAATTGTATCCATGGTCTTTGAGTCAGATCAGGCTAAAAACTTAGTTGAATGAAGTCATACAGTTGTTAACATCTATCGAGTTGAAATGTAATTGGAATAATCCTGGTTCCATTTCTCTGTCTTCTTAGCTTTGTAAGAGAATGTATACAGTATCTGTTAGAAAACAATATAACACAATATACATTCAGGCTAAGGGAGAACATGAAACCTTGTTCACTCTGATTGGTCTAAAGGAAAAAGTCATTCCTACAACCAGTGCTCCACCCTGTTCCCTGTTACTATTTGTGTGGTTTAGGAAAAATGTATCTCTCTGTTTCTGATTAGAGGATAAAAGAAAATATTGGGGTAATCAGGATGGAAGTAACCATTTGGGTGTTGTCTCTCACTTGAGCTGTTTTTTAAGTGGTACCGGTAGTCTGGGTAGACAGAGCAGAGCATGAACCAAGTTAGGAGTGGCAAATAGGTTTCAACTTGCTTGCTAACTCCAGTTCATTTTACTGGTTAACTGGAGTGCCACGTTCAGAATGTTTCTGAGGTTGTGTTTAGGCTTAGCAAGAAAGAGCTGTGATCAATTAATGATGTCTGCCAGAGGCCTGGCATAGGGATGCTGTGGTATGTGTGCCATGCATTTTCCACCTTTGGGCCAGGTACATCTCTAATATCACTTGGGGCTGGTCCCTCTGTAATTGGCAGACTCAGCAGGCATGACTGGAGAGGGGAGTCCCAATGGTGCTAGAATGGTGCTGCAGTGGCAGAAGACGGCTCACGAGTGAGGTCTGGAAGAACAACAGGGAAGACATCCATCATTTGCTCCAAAGTGTGCAAGTCATATCCTGGGGAGAATCATGATAACCCTGATCACTGAGCAGCTACAGAAGCAGACTCTGGATGAGCTGAAATGCACACGCTTCAGCATCAGTCTGGTAAAAGACCAGTCTTCCTGCTTCTCTACCATCCCCTCCCCCTTTTTTCTGAGGCTGTTTGTTGCTACTACTTTACCCATGTCCTGTGCCGTATGAGTCATGGTACTTGTACTAGAAGAGCCTACTAAAGGCTCAGAACCCAGCCCAAAAGGAAGGGGGCAGGTATTTTTCCACTGATAGAGAAGGGACACCAAAACTTGGGTGGAGAAGGGTATGAGATGTTGGAAGATGTGGATTATTTTACTCACTAACTTTGGGAAGACAACAAGAAGAGAACATTTAGGAGTCCCTAACATCTCTATAGCCCATGAATTACAGGGGTAAGCTGAAAAGGGCTTCCTGGAAATCTGTGTCCTGAGCCTGAATCATGATGGATATCCTCTCTCTCTCTTAGCCTCTGCCTGATCATGCAGACATCTCCAACTGTGGGAACCCTTTCCAACTTGTGTCTGGTAAGGCTTTGTATGTGTGTCTGTGTGTATCTACACCTTTCTTTCATTGGTTTCCAGTGACCAGGGCCAGCTAGTCTATCTCCACAGTTTTCTTGCCAGGGTCACCTGCTGAGATTCACACTTATCTCCATTTTC